GTGTGTGTGTGTGTGTGTGTGTGTGTGTGTGCGTGTGTGTGTGAGGAGAAGAAGAAGAAGTGTGTTTGTCCTGTTCCTCCGAGGCTGCAGGGTTACGTTAGTGCAAGATCAAAACAACAAACTTAGTGTCACCCCATCGTGCCATTGTCTCTGCCGCAGAGCTACTTTAGTCATGTGTGAAACAAAATGCAAAGCGGCAGAGTCCCAGGAAGAGGAAGAGGAAGAACGAAATTAAAAATATCGAGGGCTCATTATTTTTGGTTTTCAACTTTTCCAAAAGAAGATTGGAGAAATGATTTGTGTTTGTTTTGAATATTAGATAAACATGCAATTTGGCTTTTCAAAATACCATCTGCAGTGCAAACTATTTTTACTTAGGAGTACAGACTATTACACATCAGCAGTAGCTTGTTTGTGTTTTTTATCTTTTATCTTCAATTACCCAAAACATTGTCTGATCTGTCTACATTGTAAAACAGACTTAGTGATAGTCAGTGTCTTCTTGCATCAAAAGAAACATCTACTTTTGTCCATAAAAGTCCAATAAAAATCAGTTTCATCTGATCGTTAAAACATGGGTTTTCACAAGATGCTCTAATGCAGCATTGGTCCGGAGACCAGACTAATGCCACACAGAAAATGTCATTGCACTATAACAGCCCAGTGATCCTTGACCGGCCCCCGTCACCCTGCATCTTGGGGACCCATCATGAGAAAGGCGCCCACACTTTCTGGGCGGCGGTCAACCGGCTTCCTCTCTCCAGCAACGCGGTGCTCTGCTGGAAGTTCTGCCACGTCTTCCACAAGCTGCTGCGAGACGGCCATCCAAACGTACGTAAAGAGGACAACACCGTCAACATTTCTCACATATTCTAAAACGGATCTCTTCTCTGTGTCTTGTGTTCTGTGACAGTTGACTGATGATTCATTCTTCTGTTTTTTTGTCACACGCCTCCTTCATTTTGTTAATTATACCCGGTGAGTCCTGTTTTATTAACTCTGTTCCCCCTCCTCTCTCTCGCTGTCTCCGCCGCTGTCCCCCCAGGTGATAAAGGACTCCATGAGGAACAAGGCTGACTTAACTGATATGAGCAGGATGTGGGTAAGGAAGGACACAGAGATTATTGTATTACTGCGGTCACATCACAGCATGCAGTCACAAGGAGAAGGACCGTGTGCCAAAGTGGATCTTCTCTACCAGTGACTCTGTATTGAGACTGAGTTGGTGTTTTCAAAGGATGTCGAAGCATAAAAAAGATTTTCGCTCCACATTAATAGTAATAATAAGATCACATGGTTTTCCTGAAGCACATCATTGTGTATTACTGAACCAGCTCCTGTAGTTTGGCGACGGCTAAAACAACAACTTGCCTGTCCTGGAAAAATCCTTTTCTGAAAGCATGATAGGAGTGTGGCCATAAGTGCAACATGCAGCAGCCGTTTGTGTTTATTTACCCTTATGAATGAGGAGAATTCTAATAACAGAAGCTTGTATTTTGTTTATTAGCATCATTAGAGTACAGCCAACAACTCTCCTTCTTACATCATCGGGTCATCAGATTACACGGTTTGTTACTAGTCCGCCTGCTGCTGTCGGAGTGACACACATTGTGGCATGTGACGGACAAAGTCATGTAAAAACATGCCAAGTGTGACTGTCGGTGCTCACAACAAAGTGCCTTCCAGCTCCATGTTGTGACTAACCGTCACTACCGGCTTCTCTGTGGGGGAAGCCCTGCTCTCCGCTGCCAGAGCTAGAAACTCAACGCGGTTTCTGTGTAGATTAAAAGTGTCAGTGGCGATAACGTTTGCATTGATCTTACTGAGCACACGTTTCTAGTGACGCAGACAACCTCTGATGAGGTTTATTGTGCAATCCTGCACAGACTGCACTCCATAAAGCCGCTAAGTCCGACCAGTCTTGCGGTCTGCAGGTCGTCTCTGTATTCCTGGATGGTTTTTTTTAACGGCTCAGTTTTCGCTGAAATCACTGTGCAGGAGGATACAGGACGTTTGGTCCCTGTGACCGGGGGTTGTGACCTCTCTTTCCTGTTGTGTCATCACCACCCGTACTCCCAGGCTCAAGGGAAAAAGGAAGCGAGAAGCAATTGGCCACAAAACTACTCTTATTCAACTTTGTCCACACTTTGAGGTCCGGGGACATTTTTCACACAGAGTGAACGTAAAGATTCTGGATCTGTGCAGCGGGAGGAGAGAATATTTAGGCTGCTGTGAGGTGATTCAGCCCTGCAGCTCGAAAATGAAATGGTTCTTTCATGTTTATTGTATGCTGCCTTCAGCCAAAGTGCCGCTACGAATTTCCTCAAAACACCAAATGATTTGCTTCTTTCTTTAACCAAGTCCTCCAGGAGGAGAAAATAATATTTTCCACTTTCTCCTAATGTCCCTCTTCCTCCCCCACTCTCTCTCTCTCTCTCTCTCTCCCCCCAGGGTCACCTGAGTGAAGGCTATGGGAAGCTGTGCAGCATCTACCTCAAACTGCTCATCACCAAAATGGAGTTCCACATCAAAGTGAGTTGGCCTGGCCTATAAAAATCCAGCTCCGGTCTCCCTCGTCACTCATTATCTTTGTCTCAGACTCTGTTTTTAGTGCCAGCGCGTCTCTGCAGGAGGCCGGCTTCACAGAAAATTCTGGCTTTCACACTAATGGCCTCTCAGGGATCTGTAATGTCGCCTTTTTATGAGACAGCAGAGCGGTACAGGGACCGAGGGGTAGTGTTGATGCTATCGCAGGAAGATGAAATTCTTACACAAAGAAAGTGGTTTTAGAGGGCAGTCTGCCAAATCTTAACATCAGAATCAAAGGAGTAACGTGACACGTTGGCAGATAAAACCTTTGATTTGCTTTAATGTAAACTCTCTATACCCTGTTTTTGCTAAATTAGTTGCTTGTACATCAGCAGGCAGGTTGATATATATGCTTGCATGCAACGTCTAGAATCGCCGCTGAGCTCCCAGAGAAGGAAATGCAAATTGTCATCTCACACTCTAGATAAAGGTCAATTAATCAACAATCAGCTCCCGTAAACACAGTCTCATATAAACCTTATCAAAGCAAGGGGCTGGTGAACTAACAAGAATAGCTTTTTTTACTCATTTTTACTTGCTCGACTATCACTATCGTACGTGCGTATTTCTAAAGAAATATTGTGACCTAACTTATTTGAGCATTGATTTCTGATTAATTGCATAATTAACAGAATGAGGTGATATGCAAAGCGTAGCTGTAACCTGACAACAGTGGATCTTTTTTTTGTCTTCGTTTCATCTCTTGGGAGTCCGCACACCTGTCCACCTTTATGCTTCATATCATTTCGGCAGCAGAGAAACGAGAACAGTTCAGTGCTGCAGTTTTTACGTAAATCCAGCGTTACGGTATGTTCGATTCAGAGCGAGGGTTTTGTTTTGATTGGCTTCCGACTACTGAGACAGAATCAAAGAAAGCACGGGAGCAGTTCAAAGTACAAACAATACATTAACCTGAGGGATTCAAAAGCTTGGCAAGCGGCAGTGCTGAAGGAAGTATTCAGATCCTTTACTTAACCGGTAACTTCACCTTGTTTTTCAAGTGACTCATTTTTTAAATTGGTCCAGTATTGAAGGTGAACGCTGCAGCCACCAAACACGCTGTAATGTAGCCGCTCTGGGCGACTGCTCACCATCATCGTACTGCCATTAAAAGTCCTTGTTTTTGCTTTCAGATTATTATGACTGTCTGACAGCATTATGGAAACAGAGAAATAAAACGCTTTTCTTTACCTTTCGCTTGATCCCGTCTGTCTGACGGAAGTCTCCTTCTGAAGTCTCGCACATTGTCGAAATCAGCTAAATATTCAGCCGTGACTTTGGAAAATCTTTTAGAAAACACCCAGCTAAGCTTTCTGTCCTCCAACCGACTCAAACTGTCGACAGCACCGGTGTCCCGTGGCACTCGTCTCTTCAAATCTCACATTTCCACCGTTGTCTTCAGGCAAACAGGAGGTAAAGGAAAACCGTTTAATATCTCTGTTTCCATAATGTTGTCAGACACTTAAAATAGCAATCTGAACCTCTCAGTGGCAAAAACAAGCATTAGTCAGTCCGACACAAAAACATGGAAGAAAAAAGGGTCCAGGTTGAAAAATACCAAAGTTACCCTTTAATGCTGCTCTAATCAATATTTCACAATAATAATAATGGATCATGTGATTATATCTGTGGGTCGCTCATAGTGACGAATGAACAGAGAATTTTCAGCTTTTTTCAGCTCATTGTTTTGTTTTTCTGGCCCACAAATTTAATGTTTCGTTTCATTCTTGCCAATCTCATCTCATCTTAGAAACCCACTTTACTCTACCTGCACACTAACTGATGAACATAGTGGAACATTTAGCGGCTGAAGTGACAGGCTTGTTTCTAAGGAGTCGGCTGAACCTCCGACTGTTGACCTCTCTTTCAGAACCCTCGGTTCCCTGGAAACCTGCAGATGTCAAACCGACAGCTGGACGAGGCGGGAGAGAACGACGTGAACAACTTGTGAGTGTGTCGCTGCTGCAGCTTCGCGTGTTCTTATTATATATATATATATGTATATATATATATATTATATTATTCTTATGTTGATGTGCTTCTTGCCGGCCAGGCCCCAGGATCCAGATATTAACGAGCTTCAGTGTTACGTCTCAAACTGTGTTGAACAAAGTGTGAAATTAAATTAAAACGGATGAATTCATTAATCACAATGCACCAGAGCCACAAGAACTTACTCACGGGGATCATTTTAGAGGTGTTGTTTAGCACAAGTCGGTAGAAAAAGCTGTTTAGAGATTCAAATGGCGAACAAAGTTTTGAATTTTAATTCATTTGAGAGTCATAATTTCATTTCATTCTTTCATCAACGCTTATTCTTCACACTGTCGTGAAATCACGAGGCCTAGAAGAAGGAGATGGAGTAAGAAGTGGAGAGGAAAGATTTCATTCAATTGTTTTCATTCGTGGCATTTTATTTTGTCTCCCTCCAAGCAGTTTAGCTCTCGGGCCGCTACAATTATCTGCTGACTACCGTGACCCGCTTTAATATGAGATAATGTCCACCAGAAACTGCTCATCAGAGGTTACGGCTGTAATGAGATGTGAGCGGTTCAACCAAGAGTTTGAGGCCTTAAGAGGTAAAAGTTTTGTGTAGATTTATTCCCAGGTCGGGTATTTTACCCCAGCTTTGACCGTGACTCAGACTCTCAGAATGCAGGAAGGAAATTATTTCCGGCCCGATGCTGGGACACGCATGGAAGTGAATATATAATGAATAAAATCAAATTGGGCAGTTATTATTATTTAATAATGTACGAATATGATATGAGGCCCGAGCCATATCATTTTACTTTTGTCCTGTCTCTTTTTTGTTTGCATCTCTTCCTATTGGTCTAATCCAAAGATCTTCGTGCACTGATGATAGGAGTCTATTGCATGATTTTAGCAGGTTTTTCTGCATATACGAACAGATTTCTGGTTGCAAACAGGAATATGAAACGTGTGTGTTTGCAGAAATCATGTAAAAGTGTTCGTCCCTCTTTCTGTGTCTCCCCTCCTTTAGCTTCCAGCTGACAGTGGAGATGTTTGACTACCTGGAGTGTGAGCTCAACCTCTTCCTGGGCGGTAAGCTATTCTGGTCCGACTGTGCTGCCCTGTGCTACCAGCTGTGCTTATCTGAGCCAGATTATGATGTGGAACGCACAGGTTGATGATACACTGACAGACAGGAAGACGCAGTCTGACCGATAGGTGTACTGTACGTAATGGTGCACAGGAATAGACGCTCTGACGGCTGTTAGTGGTTAGATACCGGATGGTGGCCGTGCTGTTGTCTGGGTGAGTCATCCTGGGTTAAAGTCTCCTAAAGTATGGACGGGACTCAAAATAGACGGGATGGGATGTGACCAAGAGGAAATGCTAGGAAAGCTGTTTTCTGCCATTCATAGATGAACAGAAAGAAATTAAATTATTGTTTCTTTGTCTGATAGAGAAACCAAATCTCTATTCATATTCAGGACAAACTTTTTAACTTATGACTTATATATTCTACGTGTTTGCTGTGATCTGATATTCTACTAGATATACACAAAAACACATGAGTGTCACCTCACACCCGGATCTCAAAGCCCTCGTCAGATTCCTCTTTCGGTCTGGTATATTTTAAAGGCCTCACGTCATCCAGGGGTTAAGAGGCCAGGCCTGGTGTGTGTGTGTGTGTGTGTGTGTGTGTGTGTGTGTGTGTGTGTGTGTGAGAGTGTGTGTATGT